GGGTCACCAGAGACTCCGGCGAGGCTCCGACGAGCATTTCCAGGCAGTTTTTGGGCTTTGCGTTGCTTCCATTGCCTTCCTCTCATCATCCCCTACACCTCTACTTGTGTCTCCAGGTTTGATTTTGCCCTTTACTTTGTGAATTGTGGAGAATTGGGTGTTAGGGTGTATGTTTAGAGAACTTTGCCATGTGTGAATTTTGTGCAATTGATTGAGGGGAAGGCTTGGTTTATGTGTGAATTGTGTTGGGAAATGTCCCCCATGCTTGTTTGAGCCCTTGTGTGCAAGAAATTTGTCAATTCCATGCTTAACTTAATAGTGCACACAAGGTGTTCGATGAAATGCCAATTTTTCATACCATGTTGTGGGAACCGGTTGGAACCCTTAATGATGTGCTTTGATGGTGTATTTGCTATGGATGTGAACCTTAAGTTGCCTACTACATTTTAGATGTGCACCCCCACCCAGATTATACTTGTTTGATCGAGTTATTGACCCCCGAACTATGGATGAAACCATGGTTTGGCTGTTTTCTGTTCTTAAGTGTGGGGGTGCGATTAACCCTTCCTATGGCTCTTTTGGCTCCACTTTGGGTTGTTCTTTTGCAGGACCATGACGAAACCCGACCTCAAGCACCCGTTTATCAGGGATTTGAAGAGCCCCCCCCCCCCCCAACCAGGATCACTTTAAGCGCGTCCTGGCCTGCTCGTTTGGGCAGCATCATCACTGGTCCAAGAGGGAGTTTGAGAAGTTGCACTGCTACGACCACTTCTCCGCCATTGCCACCAACCGCCCTTGGCGCCGTCCGCTGTCCATTCGAGAGAAGGTTTACCACGAGCTCGTGATTGAGTTCTATACGACCTTCAAGCACGAAGAGACAGAGGATTTGGCAGACGATGAAGCCGTCAAGTTCAGGCTCGGCGGTGTGCCCTGCTCCATGAGCTACCACGACTTGGCGACCGCTCTCGATCTCGACCTGGACGATGATAGGGACTATGTCACCGAGCTTAACGATCCGGTGGGAGTGAACTTCAAGATGCTGTACACCCGCCTAGCTCAGCCCGGACAGCGTCCCTTCGTTGCAGTGCGGACGAAGGCCAGCACCCTGCAGCTCGATAACCGCATTCTCCACCACTTGCTGTGAAGTCCTACACTCCAGCTGGGGAGAGTGCCAGCACCATCACCAGGATAGCCATGTACTTCATCCAGTCCATCCGCCAGGCGGACCATCTTCTCCACCTAGGTTCTGTGGTGGCCAGAACCTTTGACAAGAGTGCTTCAGAACTGAAGAGCCTATACTGCACTCCCCTCATCACTCTCCTGGCCACCTTCTTCCAGATATCACTGTAGGGGTGCACAGAGCAGGGGGGCACTAGTGCTTTCGGCGAGGACACGATCAAGATTATGCACCTGCTGCGAGTTGATCGAGGCATCAAGTGGATCATGGGGTTTCCTGAACCTGAGATCCCTGCAGAGGACCAACCCGATGCTCTTGAGGATGAGGCTGCTGAGGATGTCCATCCCGAGGATGTGGATGATGTTGATGCCCCCCGCCCGACCACCCTGAGTACGGGGGTAGCAGTTCCTTCTTCCCATCCCAAGACTACTTCACTCACCAGTTCCAGCAGCTGAGCATCCAAAATCAGCGACTCCTCGACCATCAGCTCCAGTTCCGGCAGAAGTACTCGGCTCACCAGGCTGAGTATCAGACCTGGATGGCTGCCTATAATGAGCGCTTGGACCGTATGGAGAACTAGTAGGGGGTGACTCTGGCTCACATCGAGCGAGAGAAGGCCCAATCTCGGCGTATGCAGGAGGTCCAGTAGCGCCTGCTCCAGCTGATACCGGGCAAGCAGCCAGTATGGAGGACGCCTTCATGGACGACATCGACTTCGACAACCTTGGCGATGAGTAGTCTGTACTCGTTGCCCCTCAGAGTGTGTTTTTATTTAAGACTTTTTTATGTTTGCTCCATGTATGTGCGGAGCTTGAACTGAGTCTGTCGTTTGTTTTTGTACTTTTGGTTTTCTTTTGTGGATTGTCTCTTTTGTGGCCATCTGGGATAAACTCTGATCCCTAACGCACAGTGTGCTAGTGTGTTCTTGATGTTTCCGTCGTGCAGAACTGTCCCGTTTGTTCCATATGTTCCCCGCTGACTGGTCCACTTCCAGTCTCCCGGCAGTATTTCAATCTGGTAACATCGTTCCCCTTATCTTTCCCTTTGCTCCATTGAGGGCAATGTCGTGCTTAAGTGGGGGGGGGGGTGTTTCTCTATCTTTGACTGCTAGATGAGTTTGTGTGCTTGGAGCCTAGTCCACTGTCCAATTTGATGAATTGAGGGCTCCAAGTACTATTCCCTGCAAAATCCTACTCAGTATGCTTTGAATTGGCAGTTTTATGGTGATATGCAACCTAGGGAGGTAGTTGTAGCACCATGGAGGATGTTGAAGTATAAGATTTTTCCTATCTGGCTCTCTGCTGTGCAGGTTGATTTTGTGAAATAGTGGATTTAGGACCGTTGATTCATGCGGTATTGATGACTCCTCTTATGTTGTGTTGTGGGCTCGTGTATCGAAAAAGGGTGCTCAAGTGTGAAATGAAAAAGCAGTTGGTCCTCCATGTAAAAAATGTGAAATTCTAGGACATGGGGTAAGCACAACGTGTGCGGCACAGTTCATTGCACAAAATCGGGTTTTGGAAGAGATTTTAGTGATCCTTGGTGGGGTAGGCCTACAAGGTGAAGCTAAGATGTCTCTAGTACAAGTAAAAATTTCCACCTGTTGAACGGTTTGCCTACTTGAGGATGTGTTTTTAAGGGCAAGGATAGAGCTTCCGACCCCCCTTAATTTCATTGACCCTTCACATGAGTTGAGGAAAAGGAGTTAAAAGAAGTACTCTGGCGAGCGCCAGATGTACAGAAATTGCTCTTGCTCGACTAATAAGGGTCAACCGTGCAAAAGACTGCAGTTGGAACTCCCGCCAAGTGAATGAAAAGAAAAGAGAAGAAAAGTAAAATGAAAGTGAAAAAGGGGTTCCAACGGTGAAATGAAGTGAAAGAGCACCCTGGTACAACGAGTCCGTGGTTGTGAATGGTGTGAGTCTCCTTATCCATGAATTGACTGTCTTAGTTCCACTGCTTCTCATGATCCTGGCTTTAGTCTAGTACTCGCATTGAGAGAGATAGGAGGCGTCTTAGAAGACTAGTTAACCTCGTAAGTTGCTAAATGATCTAGAAAATCCTCTGCCGACGATCGGGGTTGCATGTTGCTATAGAAGTCTGGAGAGTTGCATTGGTTTGAGTCAGGTTTGCTTGGGGACAAGCAAACGGTTAAGTGTGGGGGAGTTTGATAGACCGTTAATTGCACATGTTTTACCCTTATTCTTGAGCCGTTTGAGATGTTGATTCTCATGTTTTAGGCCGATTTCACGCTAGGTTGTGCTTGTTTGTGATATTTCAGGTCCTAGTACGTGAATGAAGGTTTGGGAACAAGTTCGAGGTCGATTGGACGAAGTTGGGTCGTTTGGCGAGAAGTTGAGAAGCCACACGGGCATTCCTAAAAACCACACGATCGTGTAAGGGATCCCATGTGGCCGTGTGAAAATTCCAGGGAACTCACATGGGCATCCTGGAAATCCACACGGCCGTGTGGTTGTGGCCGTGTAGGATGGCTGGAAGTCACTTAAACGAAACTCGGCGTTTTGACACTCACACGGGAAGTTGGGAAAGCCACACGGCCGTGTGGCCTGCCTGTGTGGTCGGGAATTTCTGGGTTTTTACCCCAATTCAAGCCAAAGGGGAGGGGATCGAGTTTTTGGAGCAAAAGCAGAGCCCTAGAGAGAGAAAGTGCGAAGAACACATCCTAGAAGTGATCTAGGAGCTGGGTTTAATCAATCGAGCTTGGAGATCATCATAGGAGTGAAGATCATCATCCAGAGCAGATTCTTCCCATTGCTATGAGTATGACTGCTTTGTATTCTATTTTCCCCTCTCTCTATGGAGTAGAACCCTCTCTCACTTGGGTATGAAGAACCCTAGTTCCATGTGTTAGGGATCATGATTGTAATGACTTGGGATTGCTATATTGTTTGGTTTTAATCGAATGATGCATGATTCATTCAATCAATTGAAGTCTGATCATCTTTTATTGATTTCTGCTGCAACCTGAGATAGATAGAATCTGATTAGGTTGTTAGAGCTTTATCATTCGGTAGTGGTAGATTGGTTATACGAGAGTTAGTCAATCTACTGCTTTGTACTGGAACCCAATTCCAGTAGTGGAGTTCTTTGCTTATTGCCTCAGCTTTCTATCCTGGTGAAGACTAGTCGTCTGCCGGGTAGTTGGACTGAGAGGTCTTGGTCAGCTTAAGAGATTCCAAGCTACTGTCGGATCTTCGGCAGTTTAATCAACAGTAAATCAACCCAGGGTAATTACAACTGAGACCTAACTAAGGAGCTAGGGGGACTCATTCTAGAGCGACTCTCCCTTTGCTTTAGAAAACCGAATCATTTCCTGCTTTCTTACTGTTTTTAATTAAAACCACAATCAATCGACTTAGTTGGCTAGATAATAGATATTCACGGAGTAGGTAGTAGATCTAGACCCCGAGTTGATAATTAGAACTTGCCACTTTACTGCATTCCCGGACTTCGATTACACTTGGTCGCAGTTTGGTGTTGTGTTTTGGCTTGTCACCTACATTCTGCTTTCATTGTGGCCGAGTGGGTCACATGATGAGTGACTGTTCATTTGATCCTCCTACCCGGAAGGAAAGATTCGGCCCTCACATATCCACAAAAAAGTGGTACTCGCCTTTATAATGATGATGATGATATTCCCTCAATACCGCGGAGGCGCAAAATCCGTTTGGATTAACATGGAGGTTCGCGAAGGAAAATTAACTAGGGAGCAACCTAGGCCAACTCGTGATGACGGGGAGGACATTGCTGTGATGCCCGTGGCTCGCTCTGGGCTCGGCTTCCGCAGGTGGAGACGGGGACGATGGACACTGACAAGCGGGGACATGGTAAAAGTCCGCGTGGCTTCACCATGAAGAAATCTCCACTAGTTTCCCTTGGGCATGGTGTTCGTTACTCCACGTCAAGGAAAGAGGCGGGTGACTATTTGCGAGATGGGAAGGAGAGTGCCCAGGATCGGATGGACCTACATCAGGGACGCCGACGTGGGAAGGAAGTAGAGACGTCCCTGCAGATGGATGAGTCACTGATTAGTGAGGCACAACCCCGGCAAAGCCTGATGGTGACACAGGGGAGGGATGAGAGGATCCCTAGGAGGTAGGCAAGACCGGTGCGGGAGAACCAACTATTGTCGATGAGTGATGATATTCCGCCAATGGCTGACCCTGTCCATCCCCAAGCAATGACTCGTCGGCGCCGTATGATCCTCGAAGATGAGTCTGAGGATGATCTCCCCATCCTACGACAGTCCATGCAGCCCATGCAGACGACGGTTCAAGGGGAGGGTGACCAACCCAAGGAGAATCCCCAGCTTATCGGTGCTGGGAAGTTGGTGGGGAAGGCGTCATCTCGAAAGGCATCTCCCAAGCATACACCACGTAAGCTACGTAAGGCGAAGCTTCCGGAAGCTAAGACTGCGCTGGGAAAGAAATCCCAGACTTCCAAAGCCACAACGTCCGCCATGGGGAGCCCCATGCGCAAGGACCCCGTGATACCAGGAACGTCCCAGTGATGGCCTACGTTCCACCTAAGAAGGGCAATCGCTCCCCTTTGAATACATTGGGAAATGGCCATAAGCTGAAGAAGACTGCCTCCGAGGTGTCTTCTCCTGATGAAGAACCTCATATTTTTTAAGTTAGGCGGCGTTCCCGGGGCAAGAAGCAAACTGCAGAGTGAATCAATGCTCAAGGCCACGTAGGGCAAGTGGTGGCGGCCTTTGAGGCCAGCATGACCCTTAATGGGTGTGGAGATGAGGTGGGTGTGAAGTTGTCTATGGGTCAACGGCCCATGAAAGATGTTGATGCGGCTCTGACTCCGGAGAGGGAAATGATCTCCAAATTGAATGAATATGGGAAAAATATCCTTGACTCTGGAGCAGGAGGGATTCAAAGAGCTTTCGAAGAGATGGGAGGGGATATGGAGGACTCTCCTAACCCTAAGAAACAATTTGTTGAAGAAATTTCCAATGATGATAAGGTGGAGGAAGCCAGCCTGGAGTGGCTCCTCATCGGTCAAATGAGGCTGCTTGCCTGGAATGTGAGAGGAATCGGACCATCCCTCACCTTCCAAACTGCTGTAGGTTTAATTCATTCCAATTAACAGGACCTTGTCTTTTTTTCGGAAACAAGATCGAGCCGGGGAGTAGTGTCCCGCAGGATGCGAGGTTTAGGGTTCAATTTGCATAATTGTTTTTTTTTTTGTTGATGCCATCGATACTTCTGGTGGTTTAGTTGTAGCTTGGTCCCCCGAGGTCGATGCTTTGGTGTTTTTTAATTCGGATATCTCCATTTGTGTTCGGATTAATGAAAGTTCTTTCTCTTATGTGGTGATTTGTGTTTATTTAAGTTGCCATAAAAGCCGACGGGCTGCCCAATTGGATGTACTCCGCAGTTGTGTGATGAGATACACCTGCCTTTTGTACTGTTAGGTGATTTCAATGTGACTTTGGGTGAAACGGAAAAAGATGATGGGAACCCTTCGGTGGCGACCCTGACAATTCCCCTCCGAAACTTTATTCATGACCTTGGTCTTATGGATCCGGGATACGAGGGGGACCAATTCACCTGGACTAACAAACGGATGGGGGCGGCTTGCATTTGTGAAAGGTTGGATCGAGCTCTTTGCTCACCGACCTGGATAGATACTTTCCCTGACACCCTTCTCAAGCATTTTACGGATCAGGGTTCTGACCATCGTGCCCTAATACTTTCGGATAAACCATACATCTAGCAAAGTCGGCCTCTTTTCCACTTTGATGCTCGTTGGGCTTATAATCCTGAAGTTAGGGCCATGGTCACCTATGTGTGGTCGGAAGAGGTTAAGGGTTCCCCTATGTTTATTTTGTGGGAGAAATTAAAGAAGCTCCGACATTTACTTTATGATTGGAGTCGGGATGGTACTACGAATTCTCTCAGGAATATTAAGACCCTTAATCCGAAATTGATCGGGTTAGGCATTGTTACCCGATAGACTGGGAGAAAGTCAAAGAGTTGGAGTTTGAATTGAATCGACAATGGGAAGCTGAGGAAGCCTATTGGAAACAAAAGTCTAGAATGTGGTGGTTAAAGAAGGGTGATTAGAACTCCTCTTACTTCCAGACGGTGACCCGGGCGCGTCAGAAACATAATTTTGTTGAAGGGCTACATAATGCGGAGGGGGAGTGGGTTACAGAGGAAAAGCGGACATCGCAACCGGTTTCTACCAACAGCGGTTTACCTCTGAGTCCCAAGTGCATAACATGGAAGCCCGAATTGCAGACCTCCCGATTGACTGCAAGGTCACTATGGAAATGAATAACTCTCTCACAGCAGAAGTCTTTCCCGAGGAGGTCCGGCGAACAGTGTTCTCCATGGGATCTAAACAAGCGCCTGGTTCGGACGGGTTTACTGGGAAATTTTTTAAAGCTTTCTGGGATATAGTGGGTGAGTCAGTGATTCTACGGTCATGCATTTCTTTAATACGAGCAGGATGCTCCGCAGTTTCAATCATACGTGGCTCACACTTATCTCGAAAGTGGATAATGTGGACAGCATTAACCAGCTGCGACCCATCAGCCTCTGTCAATTTGTGTACAAGATCATTCCTAAAATTATGGCAGAGAGGATGAACCAAGTTTTACCACAGATTATCTCCGACGGACAAAATGCTTTTATCAGGGAAAGGCACATTGTGGATAATATTCTCATCGGCCATGAGTTAATGCACTATTTGAAACTCAAAAAGCGGGGCAAGAAAGGGTACATGGCTCTAAAGGTTGACATGGAAAAGGCCTATGAAAGAGTCGAATGGCCCTTCCTCCTTGCGATTTTAAGAAAATTAGGCTTTAATTCTGCATGGTGTGGATGGGTTCATGAATGTCTCCGATCAACCTCCTTCTCCGTTCTTATGAACGGTACTCCCTCTGGGTTCTTTGCCCCGTCTCGTGGGCTAAGACAGGGGGACCCTCTTTCCCCGTTACTGTTCGTGCTCTATGCGGAAGGGTTTGCGGCTCTTCTCCGTCAGGCTATTGCTTTGGGAAAGCTTGAAGGGGTGAAGGTGGCTCCCAGGGCGCCTAGGATTTCGCATTTGTTATTTGTGGATGATTCATATTTGTTTCTTCGAGGCTCACTTTAAGAGTGTGAGAACTTGATCGAAGTGCTTAATACTTATGAGGAACTCAGTGGCCAACGGGTTAACCTAGATAAATAAGCAATCTGCTTTAGCAAGAATATCTCTCTGCCTTACCAGGAATTCCTTGCGGAAATTCTGGGGGTTGGAGCAGTAGAGGTCCAAGATAAATACCTGGGATTGCCGACGTTGATTGCGCGATCAAAAATGGCCACGTTCCGGTTTTTGGAACATAAGCTGCTCAGCCGACTTCAAGGATGGAAGCAGCGGACGTTGTCTTGGGCAGCGAAGGAGACCTTGATTAAATCAGTCGCTCTAGCATTGCCCCTACATGTGATGTCCTGCTTTAAGTTTACCCTGTCCCTTTGTCACCTCTTGGATAGGCAAGTGGCTCGCTTTTGGTGGGGGGTGGAAGGGGGTCGTTCACGAATTAGGCGGGTTTCCTGGCGTAAGATGTGTACTAGTAAGCATGATGGTGGTATGGGCTTCCGTAGGTTTGAGCACTTCGATCAGGCTTTGTTAGCCAAAATTGGGTGGCAAATTTTGTCGGAACCTCAATCACTGCTCGCTCAAGTCTACAAAGGAAAGTACTTCCCGCATGGGGGTTTCCTCTCTGCTTCAGCCAGGTCTCGTCCTTCTTGGGGGTGGCAGAGCATCCTGTCTGGCCGTCAATTGCTGATCCAAGGCCTGAGGTGGCAAATAGGGAATGATCGGAAGGCTTCTCTTGTCTATGATAGTTGGGTTCCGTTCACTCACCCTTCTGCCCCTACTTTTAATCCAAAGGTCCTTCCGGCTGGGGGGAGGGGGGTCTTAAGGTGGCTGCTGTAATCTGTCAAGGAGAGGGTAGGTGGAATGAGGATGAGCTCAGTCGCTGGTTTGATCCAGACACCTGTATAGCCATTAAAGCTATTCCTCTCACTCGTGTGGATATTGACGATAAGTTAATTTGGCATGAGACGACGGATGGATGTTTCACTGTCAAATCGGCTTACTATTTGGCAGTCTTGTTGGATAAAAGAGGTGGTGGTTGGAGGTCTAGTGATTGTTGGATGGACAAGCCCAGTTGGATCCGTTTGTGGAACGTCGATATACAACCTAAGCTGAAGGTGTTTATGTGGCAAATTTTCCTTCGAATTCTCCCAACGACTGAAGCCTTGATTGAGAAGGATGTTGAGGTGCTGCCGCGGTGCCCAATATGTTGGGCGGAGAAGGAGACGATGGAGCATTTATTTCTCGATTGCCCAGTAGCTCGGGCTCTTTGGGATCTATCCGGTCTGGAGCATCTGGGTCAGGGAGTACCGCGCCAGAACTTCCCTCTTTTCCTTAAGCATGTGCTGTCTTTGATAGATCAGCCCCAGTGGTTCACGGCGGTAGTGGGGATTCTGTGGTGGATATGGCGATCATGTAATTGGGTTGTCTTTGAGGGCAATCAATTTGGCATCCCGGCGTTGATGCGACAGTTTCATTAGCAGTATCAGGAATGAGTCTCTCTTCCGGCCGGTCGAACTCCCAGTTCTGTTGCACTCTCTGCCCCTGCTGGTTCGGACAGCTCACCGCACTCGGTTATTTGTATGTGGTATGGGGAAACAAGTCTCGGGTCTCATTCAGCTGGGGGGATTGTGCTAAAGGATACCACGGGGGCCATCCTTACGGCCCGTGGCCTGCAATTCCCTGATACTGATGACCCTTTGGTGGCAGAATTGTTGGTCCTTCGGGAGGCAGTGAGCTTGTGCCTAGGACTAGGATTTCAATCGACTTGTTTCCAGGGGGATGCCCAGGTGTTAATGGATAAAATCAATCGGCGGGATGCGCGAGATAACAGGATGGGGCCTGTGTTGGAAGAGCTTATCAGGACATTCTCATTTCATAATGAGCTTAGTGTTCGATTTGTAGGATGGAGTAGCAATAGGGTAGCCCATTTGGTGGCTCGAAAAGCCCTCAGTTTGTACCCGACTACGTGTCGATTCTTTGATTTCCAGGGCTGTCTGATCTGATCTCTAGGATGTAACTTTCGTTTGATCTTCGTTTTATAATGAAATATCTTTTGTCAAAAAAAAATTGCTATTAAATAATATGATTAAAGCTTTTGTGCGGATTCATACTACGGTAGAAACTAATTAACAAGTTACGAACATAATTATATGATTGATATTCGACGGAAAAAATATAATTGATGCATTAACGTTTCCAATGCATCGATAGAACAACAATTTACATTGAAAGAAAGAAACCCGCCGCATGCCCGTGTACTGTACACGCAGACACCTTTTACTGTACAACGTGACTGAGATTTACTGTTTCAAACTGGGGTGACCTTCGGTGTGGGCTGGAGTTGGGTGAGGCCTCATTGGGATTTGGCGTGGGATTTGGCGGGCTCTGGGGTCTCGGTCGGTGTGGGACTGGTCGTTGGCTTCTGGTTGGCCTTAGTTGCGGTCGTTTGGTGGCCCCGGCGCGCGTTGGTCATCAGAGATCGATATTTGACTTTGGCCCGAGCGGGCACGTGGATTGAGGGTTTTCGGTTACTCTCTGGGTGTTCTGCTGGGTAGGGATCGTTGAGTGGTGGGAGATCTGGCGGGTTTGGGAGAGACT